AAAAAAAAAAAAAAACAAAACAATGTTTCATAAAATTTTCAAGAGTTTTTTAAATCTATGCTAAGTGAGACCTATTTATTACATACCTTTTCCAGACCAAAGTATTTCTTGCACGCAAACCTCGTAATATCAGGAGGAATTTTGTCCACAAAAAGCAATTGACCTAAAATGTCAATATTTTGTAGGTTACGCAAACAATTTGTATTACAACTTGTGCGGGTAGAGAATTTTTCTACTGGTCGTTATTTCATTGAAAAAATAAGCATTTTTCTTTTAAGTTTACTGAGGGTTACATGACCAAAGGTTGTCCAACATTATCCTACCAGGTGAAAGAAAGAAAATAATACGTCGAGTTAAGATGGCCAGAGTAAAGGTATAAAAAAACTGATAGCTTCGAGCAGAGAAACTGTAGTTTTTTACAAATTAATATAATGCACTCATTTTCCTTGACAGTCATCTTTTCATTCTTTCCGGCCAATCACCACTTTTTTCAGTTCAGTAATTAACCGTTTTAAGCAAACAGAACACTAAAAGATAAAAGAAACAAAAAAAAGCGCTCCCAAGAAGCTTCAAAGTTTTTGCTTTTTAAATTCCTTAAACGTAAAAAAGAGTGAAAATTAAATTAAGAGTAATCTGTGCTCAGTTTTTTGTTTTTTGACCTAATTGATGATCAGTATAAACATTACCAACAAAATTTTCCTCCTTTTTTTTTTAAATTTTAATTTTAAACAGTAGCATAGTATCAGAAGAAAGAATAGTAATGAAACACTCGTTGCACTATACGCGAATACTTCAATGAAATAATTTTGCTTTGATTTGTTCTAACATCCTTTGTTGTCGGAACAAATCAGGCTTTCCAAAACGCACTCAAGAACTACGCGTTAAACTTAACTAAATTAAGCTTTACCTGGGTGCCTAATTTTTGCAAGTTGTTGCCATTTGCCGCTTATGGCTAAGACAAACAAAATTTTTTAGTACTTCAAATTAAATTCCATACAGGTACCAAAAGCACACTTGATAAGAGAAAAAAAAAGATCTGATTTACTTTTATACAGATACCACCTTAGCTCACCAAAATAGATGTATAATTATCATGTTTAACTTAAAATAAAGCCAATACTTTTGTATTCACAGACAAACTGTTCAGAATTTTGACAGTTTTGAAAAATTGGATTTCTTCTGTAAACAATGCCACAAACGTGTGAACGGCTTTTTGTTGTAATCCTAATCTGGTCTGATACTGGTCGTCCGTCATCAAAATATTGTACCGTTCCACCTTTTGTACGCAAGCCAAACCAATAACTGGTTTGAAGAGCCGCTAGTTTTTCTAAAAAAAAAAAAGCTTTTTAAACCTCCAAAAATTTGGAAAAAAGCTGTTTTGTGCCAGCTTTTCTATAATTGTCTATAGTGTACAGAAAGCTAATTAATTACATTCCCAACTGTTCATCTTATCATCGCCATTTCCACTAAAACCTCATAATCCTTTAAGACTATCGCGTTTCTTTCAGTTTAAACACAAAAATTTCTAGATTTCTGACTACTATTGCCTTTTCTTGTTCCTTCTAAAATCCTTAAACTCATGTTTTTGGTTTTTCCGGATAATGTGCCGTGTTTTTAGGTTTTTTTAGATGAAATTCCACAGAACGAAAAAACAGTCTTTTTTGTTTCGCTTTGTTCACTTCCCAGTGGAAACTGTAATCATAAATCCGCGAAAAACTTGGTTTGTGCTGATTCCGTTTCAAACTTCCACTGCATTAGATAATATTTTGAAAAAAATCAACTTTTCATTTCATCAAATTGAGCTGAAGTATAAAGTGTAGCCAATCGACTGTCCTGCCATTTTCCGCAAAACTGTCTAGCTTTCTCCCAAGTCATCGGCTTGTTAAACTGAAAACGTTTTTTGACAAGCAGTTATTCAACCGTCATTTGTTAAAACCATTGTTCACCGATTGTATCAAAGCAGATTAATTGTCTCTACTTCCTATAGCAGTGACGTCAGCCAATGCTTCCGCATAGATGTACAGAAAACCTTTAAGATCTAACCAGCTTGTAGCATATTCCTTCGATGAATGTCCATGATGGGTGGCATAAGTACCTTTCATCTGTAAAGTAGTGTAAGGTTCAGGAGAGTAATGAAATTGATTTTTGCACTGAAGAAAAACAAATTTTCAATTAAACTTTTCATTGAAGCTTTCAATTCTGCGTACAAATTCGAGACAGTTTTTTTAATTAGCAGGAGCAACATGAAGGTAGAAGCAGCACCATTAATTTTGATGAGCTTTTTTAATATTCATCTCCTTCTAAAGCAATGTTCTTTCGAATGATTTAGAATAAACGTGACCTTCTTTTGGATGCATAATACGAAACTTTAATTCTCCGTATTCTACTGACTTTCTAGTCAAGTTAGCATCTGCTAAATGCCTCAGAAAGTCCCTTTCCACAGGCGCTACAACAACATTATGTATTCCATCCAGCTTTTGGGAATAAAGTATACCTAAAAACAGATAATTTTGACAAATAAAAACGCATCCGTTTTTCTTTTTTAAAAAAAGAAATCAAAACTGTAAATCGTGACAGGGACTTTAACTATTATCTAAGGAACAATCTCAGAAAGGCAAACCTTATTGGTGATATATCAAGACGTACTATTAAATATTGAAAGATGTTGTGAAGTCCCGATAATCTGATCTTTTTTCAAACCAAACCTTCTACTTTACAGCGTCAGTAAATCAGATAATGAGCTAGTCGCTATCCAGTTATAACTGTTTTAAGACTGTTAAGAAAGGAATAAAAAAGCATCTCTTTTAAACCTCCACTTCTAAGACTTACTGTGCAAGAAAATGAATTCTCTAGCCGAAGTTATCGACAAAATACGACCTTGGAATTTGTGATAGCAGTATTCCTTCGAATCTTCCCATGACATTCTTGCGACCTAATAAAAACTTATCATCTAATTGAGGAAGGACGAATTTGGTCGAATAACGGTGCTAACTTAATCGCTATTACGGGTGTTACTTCTCAAAACAACAGCGGCTTATCGATTCCACCGCTTTATATTTTCTTTTCGCCAGTTTCACTGGGATACACTTTTTGAACAAATTATATTCACAATTCTGCAATTAATTGTTATCGACAAGAAGCGGGAACCTTGAATGCATACATTGACGTCAAACAAACAATACTGCCATTTTCCATTACGTTCGCTGACAACGTATCTTTCAACTTTTATATTATCCCTTCTTCCTGTCGGAATTGCCACGGGACACATTTCTGAGTGCTCCAAATCTGTAAACTCCAACCTTCATTTACTTGAACATTTGTCATAGTATTCGAGAGCATGTCGTGCCGTTCAGTCTGAGTTTCTAACATAAATTGTTAACCTGTTGTGAGACAGTTAATGCAAGAGCTGGAAGTGACAAGGCAGGTTACACAAAGTTACACCTGTCTTAATTAGAGACTTATTTAATTTTAAAACATATGAAGTGACTTATTTAATGATATTCCTGATACATTTCTCGAATTCGGCAGTAACAAGAATTTTTCCGTTTACTAAAGAAACCAATCTGCACTTCAAATTTCATTTCAACCGTAACAAGTTATTAAACAAAAAATGGCCTAGTAAGAATTATTTTGAGAACGGGAAGCATTCGTCGTTTATGAATGTTAAAAATAAACTACAAACAATATTCTCTGTTAGATGTTTGACTGGAATTATTTTGGTTTTGTTGTTGTTTAAGAGACAAATTACAACGCATTAAAATGTCTTGTCTCTGACAGTTTTTGAGTATTAGAGAGAAATTAAATTATATCACTATTTTTATATTTACGGAAGTAAGCTTACGATATGTTTGCTTATCGCGAAGAGGCTGAAATTACCTTTATTAGTCTTCCAGTATCACTGTCTTGCTGGAACACAATCATTTCTTTAGAAAACTAGAATATTTTCAATGCTGGAAGGTATCTCACTTATTGACACTACCGTTTAAAACTTTACAAAAAATTATCGAATGATTTGTTTATAAAATTTTTACAGCGAAAAAAAACAAACTTCGTTATAGCACGTTCCATCAGGTTGGTAAAAACGGTTTTCACAACGTCTGTTCCCTTTATCCGCTGCTGAAAGATAAAAAGAATTCAACTTTTAGCCCATTAATAAACCTGCTAGCTCCGTTTAGCTCCGTTTAAAGCAAAAGCTAATTAATGAGCTTTTTTCTGGAAGTGTATTTAGATTTCTTTTGACTATCAAATCACTCAGGTTGCATTGATTTAGAAAGTTATAAAATACTTTATTATAGATTGTACCGATGTACAACTGTCTGCAGCAAACTCGTACTCTTTTTTGATATTTAGTTTATCACAGTCTTCAAAGATTTTAGATCAGTCATAAGAATGATAAATAGCGAACCTTTAATAATGCATATACTTTCTGCACAAGAATCTTCATTGGCCAGTGTCCAGATACCTTTTTTGTTGACCATAACATGCTTTCCGCCGGATTTATCCTTGCTCAGTAACGAGAAGTTGGAAGTACTTCCATCCAACCACTTCCATTCACCGCTGACTTTTTCATAGCCAATCCAAAAACCATGAATTGATGTACTAGCCAATATGTCGTCTGCAATTACACTAAATTTAGTTCCTAATTTACTGGAAATAGGAAAAAACATTATTCGTGATTTAGATATCTTTATCAAATTTTTACAGGATTCTCGACAATTGGATAATTTAGACGGAGTATCGGCGTATCATGAAACATGAATAAACAGCGCCACCAAAAAACTACTTTTTCAACGGAGACACTAAGATGACTCACTCTGTTTATCGTTGCTAATTGAAGGCAGTTCAGCGTTATGGTCTTCGCAAAAGTCGACTGCTGTATCAAAGTCCATACACTCATAACTCTTAAAAAAATTCTTCTACTATTCAGAATAATATTTTTTAGCGTTAGATTTAAAATATCAAGTAGAAGCGCTACTGAAGTTTACAGTGTTCTCAGGAAACATGGTTTTCTCGTCAATGAGCTGGTTTCATTACAAATACGGCGGTCCCATATACACTTACCTCCTAAGAATTCTTTAGTTCTTCATTAAGGCATTACAGATCTACGAACAATAGATTTGAGTTCACAAAATGTGGGAAACCGCAAGCGCGAATCTACCAGTTGCTCAATGCAGCATTACTTTATCGCGGAATGACAGGCTTAGCAGTGAAGAGCGAGTGGAAGTTAAGGCTTTGAAAGGTAAAAAATAAGTCTTAGGCAAAGATAGAGTCAAGTCTTGGAATGCGCAAAACTGTGACAGAATGCTGTAATCAATATCACAACCTATTTAAGCCTACTAACTGTGCTCAGTTTAATTTCATGCGATGACCAAATTGACATAATTCAAAACATATACACTTCGCAGAAAATAATCAACGTTTTTGATACATTTTTCTACTGCACTGACCTGAAATATACTTGAAGACGAAATCGTAAACCAGTAAATCAAAGAAAAAAACTAACTTGAATAATGCAAACTTCTTTTTTATTTGGCGCCCACTCGGGTATACAGTGTGATAGCACCTCTAAAAAAAAGAATTAAAAAAATCAAAATTAAACGGAGAAGAGCTTTTAAAGATGAGAAAAAGATAAACAGTAAAACTGATCAAATTTATTTTGCTGATTGCAAAAGACCATTTAAACAAGATAACTTTAAAAAGTTACCGACGACTAAGTTTAGAAAAATCACTATAGTATATTGCATTATTTCAGCCGCACAAAACTTTCCCAGTTGAACAAAAGCTGCTTCAAGAGGAGGATATCAAATTAAAATTTTGAGTGAATTTAATTTTGTTAATGTATATGAAGTGATTTTTTGAAAGCAACTACATTTTTTTTTCACAACAACTTAGTTCTCAAGACTTAGCCGCAGATTTTACTAGTTTTTAGAAAGAAAAGTATCACTTCAGAAACGTTTACTGTTTTTGAAGATCTAATTACGAACCATAATAGCAGATGCTGTATTTTTTCATAGTATTTCCGACTTAAAATTAGAAAAGGTTATTCAAATAATGCTGAAGTATAAAAGAAAAAAACAAGAACAGTTTATAAACTGCAGAAGCAAAAAATTTTTGTAACTGCATAAGTTGACAATAAACTTATCAGCAAGAGAATCAAACTGAGTTTTATAAAGGTCTTCATATCAAGACCAAAAAAAAGAATTTTAAAAAGATGTTGAAAAAACTAATGAAAAAACAGTTGAAAAATTTTTTCTCTACTGCTCAGGCATCCTTAACCTAAAAAGCCAGTTTATTTAAAGTGATCAACTTTTTCGCTTTGTTGTTACGACACTTTGAGCGCTTTAAAGATCATAAGTAATTTTGAAATTGGCAAATTTTGTATAAAAAATTTATAGTGTAAAAAAATACAAATTAATTTGGTACTTGTGAACGGTTTTTCCAAAAAGAACGAAATATAAAGAAGTGATCTACTATCGGGTTGTAGTGACGTCTAAATGTTAGGATATCACTTCTTTCCATTGTTTTCCCTCATTTATTTTCTGCTAACACCGAACCTTTTTATTACATTTAAGCGGCTGTACGAAGGAAATATCACTTTCTTTTTAAATTTGCAAGAAAAATCAAATTCAAGCAACTCCTAAGCGTCTAGGAATTAGAACTGAACAACGTCTCATTGCAACCCATATTTTTAGAGGTATAAAATCCTTAAATCGTATTTACCTAAAACAATGTCAAGCCTCCTACTACTGTTTTTAGTGGTACTTTAGGCAATAGCTGAGGTCACCAAAACAACGTTAAACTGTTGGCTATGAAACAACTGCAGAATTG